CGCGCCCGGCGCGACGCCAGCGATGAGCAATGACGATGCGCTGCTGGCTGCTGCTGCTGCCTACTGCTCGGGCAGAGACAACGAAGACGACGACGATGACGATGACGCTGTAATTGCCACCGTTACTTGCGCTGCTGCTGCTGTTGTTACTGTTATTTCGGCTGTCACCGATGTTGCTGTTGTTGCCGCTGTCACTGACGCTGCTGTTGTCACCGCCGTTGCTGCTGTCACTAACGCGGTTGTTATCGCTGTTGCTGCTACCGTCGTTACCGCTACTGCTATCGTTGCCGTCGCCGCGGTGTATTCTGTTGGCGCATGCATGCCGGCTTATGCATTTATACCCCGCGCAGTGCGCGTCTGCCATCGATCGCCGATCTGACGTCATCGCGCTACGTCGCGCCGCCTACCGTCACCGGCAGACGCTACCTGCCGCCGGTCGCTGGCGGAAAGCACGCGCGAGAAGAACCGTATACGAAACTCCAGCGCGCTGCTGCACTATCTATGAAGCCTGCCTACCTGCCTGCCTACGTACGTACGCTGCACACAGTTCGCGATGAAATCAAAGGCACAGATGAATGCCGATTTTAAATGCGAACGCGGAAGGCATGACGATCTTACTAAAATATATCTAAATAAGCCACTTCGTAGTTACACACTGGAGCCCTATGACGTCATAGGGTCATAGATCATTTGTACATAGCTGAAAAGTTTGATCGCGCGTTCGCGCTTGCCGTGTACTACGTAATATCAGGAGTAGATATAGGGAATTAATTCCTTGCTAATTAACTAATGTAAAATCGTGCGTGCGTTTATTTTCTGTACTGAACCGATCGTCCATCTGCCCGTGCTTTTTTGTTTTTATTTTATTTTTACGTGTGTGTATGATATTCTTGTGTGCGTATTTTAGGTAGATACGCAGTGTCGGTTCTTCTCGGTCAGTCAGTTAACTGCAGCTAGTCAGTTTCAGTCAGTCTCGGTCATATCATTCATTTATGGATGTCTTTTTGCTCCTTGGATTTTTTAGAGTTTGGGAAGACGGTTACAGGGTATGTACCCTGTGCCTGACGCCTTCCTCCGAACCGCTGTGAACACTGAACCGACGCTGGGGGAGTACGGTAAACGCAGGGTAATACCCTGTTACGTACTCCTAATGTTTCTGTCACGTCTTCTTCATCTCGTCCCTTGTTGCGTTTTATAACTGTATTCCCCCGATGCAAAGCTGTCATGAATGTTCGTATGAACATACTACCATTTCTTGACTGCCACACTAAGATGTCCCAAAACGCAGTGAAATGGCGAATATAGTCAGCACATGATATAGTTAGAATATAGTCAGAATATAGTTGGCGACATGCCAACGAACGGCTGTGACGTTTCGTTCACAATTTAATTAAGCGCGTGGATAACACAACAGCAGCGACACTGGAGTTAAGGTCGATGCACGCTCGCTAAGCTGTAACAATATTTTGTGCAACAACGAAATAGGGTTTTAAAAGGAAACTTAGTCAAGCCACTTTCGATAACAGATTTTGGCACAATAAAGCGACTTTCGGCTTATTTACATACTATTATGCATGTTCTAACGGATATGCACGGATACATACGCAGAGAAGGCAGGTGACTCTAGTGTCGCTGTTCAAATATCTCTCCTCAGAAAAGCGTGGGTTGCTTTTCCCGATGGCTTTTGCATCGCGGAGTGCATCTGATCGAATTGTTTTTTTACGCGCAATATTCTTGCATAGAGCACTTCCTTGATGAGATACATCGGTGGATTTCGGGGGCTTTCCTAAGCAGCTTTGCCGCCGTAACGTTGTTACGTGCACCTATACGACGCTGCTATATATTGCATCGCAATTCACGATACGATTTCTGCACACGATTCATATTATCCGCTGACTGCGTGTGACAGGAATCCGAGAGCAGCCTTACCTCAGCTTATCAACGAGGCTTACATGCATCGTTGGCAAATGTGAGCCGAGAGGCTGTGCGCGGAACCCTGAACAGTCCTGCGATTAGTCGTGGCCTTTCATTCTTGGCTTTTTTAACAAGCGTCTCTAACGCTGTTTCACTAAATCGCGTAGCGGCGGTTAAGAAATATGATAGCCTTTTAAAGGAAGCTAACGAACCCAGACAATGTTGCCCACGCGGCGTATCATGATGCTTAGATCTCGGTGCTAAGGCTTAATCCTTAGTCCCAAGTCTTAGGTATTGGATCCACAGTCTTAATCCTTGTTGTAAATAGGTAGATGGGTAGATGGGTGGATGGGTGGATGGGTGGATGGATGGGTGGATGGATGGATGGATGGGATGAGGTGGATGAGGTGGTATGAGTGGATGATAGTAGATAGAATAGAATAAGATAGGATAGATACGGTAGATAGACTGCATAGATATGATTTAGATAGATAGATAGATAGATAGCATATGTATAGATAGATAGAAGGATAGATAGATAGATCAGATAGATCAGATAGATAGATAGTTATAGATAGAATGATGGAGGGATGCATAGAATAGATAGGATAGCATAGATAGATAGTATAGATAGATAGACTGATAGATAGTAGATAGATAGATAGATAGATAGATAGATAGATAGATAGATAGAATAGCATAGGCATAGATAAGGAATAGATAGAAGATAGATAGATAGATAAATAAATAGATAGATAGATAGATAGATAGATAGATAGAGATAGATAGATAAATAAATTAGGATAATAGATAGCATTAGCTATATAAGTAGCATAAAAATAGAATAAGTTAGTAGGGTTAGATACGAGAGCGGATTAATCCTTAAGGCGCGCAAACGACAAATATAGCCCAACTTACGATGCGATAACTTCCGACCAACGACATAAGATGCACGGCTTAGGCCAACATGCACAACATACTACTGTCACTACTGCTACTGCTTACTGCCCTAGGCCCTATGGCGTGTCTGCCTTGCTGGCTCTGCCTACTGCTACTGCTAATACTGGTTACTGCTGACTGGCGTATTGCGCTGCGGTTTTGCTGCTGCTTACTGCCTTATTCTGCTTACCAGGGTTTCGTGTTGGCTGTGTACAGGGGGGTGGTCCAGGTGGGCGTCGGTACCCCCCCCCCCTCCTGCTCGGCGCAGAACGCATTTTAAGTGGCGCCGTCTAATTAAAAAAATTGAGCCTGGGGCGTGCCTCGCAATGTGTTGGGTTACGGTATAGACCTCCCCCCCTGGATACAATCTGTACACGCCCCTGGCTTGTACTGCTGCTGCTGCTGCTTGCTGCGCCTGCTGCTGCTGCTGCGGCTGTGCTGCCTGGTGCCTGCTTCCTGTTACGGCTGCCTGCTTTACTGCCAATGTCTACTGTTACTGCTACTGCTCTTGCCCTACTGCTTACTGCTACTGCTAACTGCTACTGCTACTCGCTAGCTTGCTATGTACTGCCTATGCCTACTGCTACTGCCTACTGCTATGCTTTACTGGTTCTGTTTACTGTTTTACTGGCTATGCTATGCGTTTACTGCTAGCTGCTACTGTTACTGCCTATTACTACTGCCTACTGTACTTACTGCTGCTACTGCTACTGCTATTTAGCTACTGACTACTGCTTTCCTGTTATTGCTTATCTGATCACTTCGCTACTGCTACTGCTTACTAGCATTTATGCCTGGCATTCCGGATCCCGTTTGTATCAATAGCATTATTTGAACGTGTATTAAAGCATAAACAAATGTTACGATGCTTTGATTAGCTTATATAGTAGACGTTAGAATCGCCTCCTCTAGAGGGCCTCCTTCTGGAAACCAGGCTGGCTACGCCCATGTACTACTCGCTACTGCTACTGCCTACCTGCTACTGAGCTACTGCTACTGCCTACTGCCTACTGCTACTGGCTACTGCCTCTGCCTGCCTGGCTGCTGCATGCAACTACTGACTGAATGCTACTGCTGCTGAGTAACTCGCTAAGCAAAAAAAACTTAAACGTGAGTATACCTCCTACTTTAACATGTCGAAACCTGATTGCCGATATCTGTTTG